TAGCAGACTTCGGATGTCAACAAATCCAACCGACGACAATTTACGAAGATAACAGAAGTTGCCTAAACTTAATCAAGGAGGAGAAATTAAGTAATAGAACAAAACATATTGACACGAAATATCACTTCGTAAAGGATTATATTGATAAAAAGGTCATCGAATGTAATTATTGCCAGTCCGAAGAAATGCTTGCTGATATGCTGACTAAACCATTACCATTGTCAAAGCTGGAGAAATTCAGAACCTTGGCACAAGTCGTGTACAATTGAGGAGGAGTGTTGGTATTTGCAATTGTACATCACATGAGCACGGTAACCCATGAGAATACCCAAATGATTAATAATAGAATTAGATGTGGCAACATTGTTTTTATGTACATTGTACAAATACACATATACTCTTATACATGCATCACATACATCATCCTAACATTCCATGTAATAAATATAGTTTACTGTTGTAACGTTCAGTTAGTTGTCTTTTACTTCTTCTTAAATAAAGAACATGAATTGTTAAACTGAAACGATCCTCGTGCCTCAACAATCATTTCTAATAGACCTAAATAAATATGATACAAATATTGCGACGTGCCAGGTCCAAACTTTTGGAACATGTGGTAATATGTGAAAGGCAACAGATATAGGGGACCGAAGTATTCCATTCTCATACTTCATCTTATCTTCTTATTTCGCATTTTTTGAGCGTTTTGTTTCTTTGATCGTTTTGGTTATTCAAAACTTTGAACCTTTTTGGACCAATCTCTACCATCTTTATAACAGATCTTGTGTTGATGGAAATATTCAGATGTGCCAAGTCTAAATGGAATCTAATTTTAATTTCGCTTTTTATAAGCTTCATAGATATTCAAAATTTTGTAAGGAATGTACAAGGAGTAGACCGATATATTCCATCTTAGCACCAGATCGTGATTTTATAAAAATATTGGGATGTGTGAAATTTGAAGAGTTGTAACTATTCAAAATTTTGACCCTTTGTGGGGGAGGTACTTGATGGAGTGGACCGATATTGTCCATTTTCGCATTTGACCTAGCACTGACGCAAGTATTAGGATTTGCAAAGTTGGAGCAAACTCGGATTATTGCTTATTTTTATGTACAGACAATATTTTTCTTTTTTGAAAATTTCAACCTTTTTGTGGGGGAGGTACCAGAAAGAGTGGACCGATGTATTCCATCTTTAAACCAGACCTTGGGGTAAAAATTTATTGGGATGTGTGAAATTTGAAGACAATCGGACTCTTACATCACACTTTATAAGAGTTGTAATTATTCAAAAATTTGACCCTTTGTGGGAGGTTCATTTTCGCACCTGACGTAGCACTGTCGCAAATATTTGGATTTGCAAACTTGGAACAAAATCAGATTATCGTTTCTCTTTCTGTGCAGAAAATAATGTGTTTTTGAAAATTTCGACCTTTTGTGGGGAGTTACCAGAAGGAGTGGACCGATATTACCCATCTCCAACCTCGATGTAAGTTTGACAAAAATATTACGATGTACCAAGTTTGAACCAAGTCGGATACTCCCTTTAAGAGTTATCGTGCGCACCAGCCAGACAAACAGACAGACGGATGGACATCGCTAGATCGACTCCTAATGTCCTGAAACGGATTTGGTCAAAAGACTAGGCACATTTTGACCGTATCAAATGATATATACCCTCTCTAGTCATATGGCAGAGGGTATAATATAATCATTAATTGGAAGTCGATTTTAATACTTGGATTTGATTAACTACTTTGAAAAAACGTAAAAAAAAATTATAATACAGGTATCAATTTAAGCCACTAAATTAATAGCTCTTAGTGGAGGAATTTCTTCACCGATTTAATATATAAAATTGTTTTTACTATGAGACGAAATGAACCCACAAAGTACTGGAGTCTTATTTTAAAATTAGAAATATATTATTGTATGATTTTGGTCATTATTAGAAATATGACCTTGAATACAACATGCAGTAATTGCTGTCACTAGTGTCAATTGGGAACTTACCGATAACCTTCTGGAACACCAGGATTGCGTTTCAAAAATGAACCAGTTGCCAAACGTCTTGTTACCCATTCAATGGGTATCATTGCACACTTCTTGGCAATAAAAGCCTTGGGACCAGCCTGTTTCACGTAGGCAGTATGAATACCTACACATGAAAGTAAAAAAGCAAATACGCACATGAGATACGACATTGTCACCAGCCACATTTAATACGTTTAATTACCTGCATCGTTGAGGATTTGGAAAACTTGACCATTTGTGGAGTTCGAGATTTCAGCTTTTCCAGCCAAGTCGTGAGCACGGGCACCATCTCCAGCTGTTATGCGATCCTTGCTCAATATCAAACAATTGCCAGGATGTTCAGGTAAATCAAAGACCTGTTTGGTCTTACCCTCGATGATTAGAGAACCAAGTGTGTATCCTGCAACTGTTCAACAAGTTAATTATTCTCAATTTCCTACATAATTAACAAATTGCGTTAATGTTACCAAACTCACCTTTACTCATTATGATCTTTTCTTTTGCTTTTTATAACACCCCAACACGTGTTTGTGTCTTAATTGCTACCCGGCTAGAATGTTTTCGATTCGAAAACTTGAAATGTTGAAAACAGACTGATCCAGACGCCTGCGAATGGCTTGTTATTTACCCCCACAATGATTCCCAACATAATATCAAAGACAACAACAACAACCTCGTATGTGAACAGGGATGCCATCTTTCTCAAGTTTACAAGTGGCTTGTTTCTGGGGTGGAGTAGGAAAATGTTTCACGGCATGAAAAGTACAAGCATAATAAACTAATGAATACACAGACAACGGAATGCTCTTACCGCTTATCGAAAAAATCCGAATAAGCAGTGATCGTCTATGTCGTTTCAGGGGAATCAGTGAAAATATTAAAGTCACTGAAACCTACAATTTTAAACATATTAACAACAGTAGGGTAGTTGACTGTTAAAAACTATTCCATTAATCAAGGAAAATCCTGGAAAAGGGAAGAAATGTGTTTTCGAAGTCAAGTAGGCCAACTGGATCAATAAGCATGTTGGCTATACAAGCGCGTGCTGAGAGCTGTCCGAATAAAGACTAACTAACTAAAACTAACATTACGTTGTCTATAAATTCTATGGAACAAGTACTATTTTATATTTACTAGTTGATATGTATCTAACAAACAACAATTTATTTTTTCGAATACAAGAAAATGTTAAATTTATTACAAAGAATGATACAACAAAATTATTAAGTTGGCATCCCTGCTGAAGAACTATTCTTCTGCTCTTTGCTGAGTCTCCGCTCTCATATTGGGGATGAGAGCTCCATATAATTTGCTGGTTGCTCTCTTCTCCATGCCGGTTTTTGCTAATGGCTCGTTGTGGCTAGTGGTGATCGTTTTGCGGTCTATGGCCGCCGTCTTTGGTCTTGTTTTTGTTATTGATCTTCTTTTGAATTTTAACAAATATTTTTGTTTATTATGTTTCTTATCAATAGGTGTATGTCTGATTCGGTTCACTTGTTGTTAAATTGTTGTTGTCCCTGGTATGGTTACAAATCCCAAGTGACGTTATTATCATATTAAAATCGTCTAGTATCACTAAGCGATTTGTTAAATATTTTTACATCATAGAACTATTATTTTATGCTAGACTTCTAGAACGTGTGAAACGCATTAACCCACTGAGATCCAATGTTGCCCATCATGTGATTTACATGATATATTTATTTGATGTGAGTATTTATAGGACTTAATGCTCTACATTGAAATTGGTGTGTCCAATCAAACTAAAGTTAGACTTGTACTTTCATCATAAAATGGAAGAGATAAGATTCTATTTACTCCCAATATAGATTTATCTTCTGTTAGTTTAAATTTCGAAGGTTTAAATCACATTTATTTAACTATAGGTTAGTTAGTTTGTTAGTTTAAATTTCAAAGGTTTAAATCACATTTTATTTAACTATAGGAGTTACAATTTGGTATTTGTGTTCGCAACGGGTCGCAAGAATATTTAGTATTTTAAAAGGTTTTGACATATCTCCCAAGTTACAGTAACCCCATTGTAGAGCAAACCGATTTCACTATAACTTACGTCTTACTATTTCCTACTATCGCTATAACTTACGTCTTGAAAATCATCATTAAAAACTTAAACAAGTTAAAAAGCCTTAAGAACTTTGAATACATACCCTCCACCATTTGGAACGAATTTGGAAATTTTCAAAAAATAAAATCCGTTAAAAATTCTTTTAAAATCTTTAAAATATTTAGGTCTTTACCATTACCATATTCAAATTCGAAACTTGAAATAAACGGTGAATAATGTAGCTAAAATCGTGTACTGGGATGTACCGTTATATCGGAGCTATACGAAGACCTGGTCCTGCATAGACAACTTTCTTTCACAGGCTGTAGCATCCATTACGAACTTCAAATACGGTATCTCAAACAATTTCGGTATTGTACCTAAAATCATCAAAATTATGATAAATGATTTTTGAAGAAATTCAGTGAATTGTCCTAAAAAGCTGATTAAGATTGTTTCATTTCTCCCTGAGACAGTAATTTTGGCTGCTCTATTTTTAAAAGATGGTGATAATGCGACTCCGCTGCTTTGATAATACTATCATCCCAAAGTGTAGTGTAGATGGTAGCATGGTAAAATAAGAATGATGAGAACAGCTTCGTAACCACTATATGCAACAAATTTTTCACGTTTATGTGGTGCATATTGTTTTTTTTTTTTTCAAAATCAAGGTTTTAAAGGTTTAAATATAAAATAGATAAATTATATGATATTATTTATTTATTTTTTTTAATGATGCAATAGATTTTGATGAATTCCCAAGTTTGTATTTTTCCTCCAACAAATATTTTTCAATTTTAGCGTCTCTTGACAGGATTGAAAACCGATTTTTCATAATATTGACTTAACATGCAAACGTGTAATAAACTACTACTATTATAAATCAAGGAACATATTAATTTGGTGTTATAATTATCAAATTTATTTCATCTAACAAACTGAGATTTGCATTCAATAGCATTTACATGGTAAACATATTTTATGTATACATTTAAATGCATTTTATTGATGTATGTATATAAAATTGTTTATAACAAAACATAGATATTGTCAATAGTAAAATTATATCAAATTCAAAACATAATAATATCAATTATTAATACGATTACTCTATAGATGATGTGCAAAATTGTATATTTGAAATATTGTACTAAACTTGTTTTCATATTAAATCTAGTTATAGAAAATTCTGCGTTTAAACGTTGATCGAAAGATCAATTATAAAATGTTAACAGTGCATGTGTAGTATAGTCTATTCTATTTATTCTATTCTATTTCTATTGCAATTAGTCTACGGAAGAAAATGTAATTTCAATGGAATTCTTTTGTCTACATTAGAGTAGATCTTGTTGCAGTCGTCTACGATGCTTAAATGTTTCGTATAGATTTCCAACGTCTCAATAAAACGCACGCCGATGTTAGTCCAGTAGAAAATTGACTAAATTCACTAATATTAATGTTGCGAGATGGAATGTCAATTTTTTCCTTAATTATCTGCAAAGCAATTGTAAAAAGTAAATAAATTTGCGATTCAAAAGCATATGCAATAGTTACTCACCTTATATGATTCTAAAATTTCTTCAGGTGAACGATAAACCAGTGTGCCGTTAATATATAGCATATTGGCGGCATGTTCCTCTGGTAAAGTAATTTTTAAATATTTAAAGCTGGCTTCTCGTTCCATGCGTTTAACAATCTCCTGACAAACAGTGCTATTGCTGACACTTAAGACATCGGGTCCCGCCATCGAGACATAATACTTCAGGGGTTTTGTGCCACCAACCTGTTCATCAGAGAAAATTATTTTCTATATATTTTTTGTTATGTGAATCGTTCAAATATCACCTTTATTGGAGTTACAGGATATTCGGGAAAAGTTGTTGCAACCGCTCTAGCTCCATCTTCGTTGGTAAAATTTGAAATACCAACGAAAAATTCTCTACCTTTAAACAGAAACTCAATTAGCGTATTCAATTTATAATAAACCACTCATAAATTACCTGTAAACAATACATCCCCACCATGTAGTTGTGCATTTGGATTCTCTATTACCTCCACTGGAATATCTAATTCCTTTTTTAACGTTATAGCTATACTGTTGGCCTTCACGGGTTTGAATAGAAAACATTAATTGTATTTTAATACACTTTATTGTGGTTACAAACATTTACCTCTTTCTGTCTCATCGGATCTTCAGATTTGGCAATTAATGCTACACCATTACATATGACAACAGATGTTTCCACAAAAACACTGTACGGCAATTCATCATCGGGTGGCAATTCAATGACATCTAAACCAATTTCTCTTAATAAACTGCAGAACTGCTTGTGTTGTTCTTTGGCCGTTTCTAGATCGAACTCTTCTTTATTCCTTAACCCATCTGAAATTCTACAATAATACAAAAAATTCAAGTTATGTTTTAATATAGATACCAGTTATTAGGATAAGCAAAAGCATTTTAATATTTCATTGTGCGTTCATAGAAACACATTTAGTGAAAACTATTGACAAATGTCGTTTTCTGTAATCTATCTCAAGGATATGTCGCAGTGTTTTAAAGTATTCAGAAGATTATATTAAAAATTGTATTATTACATTAAAAAAGGTTGACACGTTTAAACATAAAACCAACAACTAGTTTGCCGAGTCGCTATTGTATGAACAGTAATCTCCCACCCCCACAAATCTAGCTGAGCCACTACAACGTTATTCTCTTGCAAAACACTTGATTGCCATTAATTGAATAGATGAATGGTGAATTATTGTGTAGATTTGTTAAGTAAATTATGCTAGCAATTACTTGTCAAAGGACCACCACACCCAAACTATTAACGAAAATAATTGACATTAAAAAAATGACATAAGCTATTTTGTAATAAAATCTAGTTTACTCATTTATAGTACAACGCCCAAGTGGCCTACTTTTCACTATCGAGAAGGATATGTGCGAATAATTGTGCCCAAATAAATCCATTTTAATATTACATGTAGTTCTATATTAAAATCTAGTGTACTACCAAAAATATCGTTCGTAGCGTTTCTGCTTGTAAATAAATTTCAACACAAATTGCACGTTTTAATAGAAACATTAACGTAGCAGCTTTATTACCTGTTTATTAAGCTCAAGTACCTTTTGACAGGTTTACTTACCTGGCCACTATGGCATGGCTGTATTTCAACGACATTTTTATTTAATTAATTTGTTTTACACTAAAAAATAGTCTATTAATTGTTTAAAAAGTTTTAATAAATAAATTGTTATTTCATTTATTCAAACAAATATTTTTATTAAACCAAACACCCCACTCCGACAACAAACTAGAAATGACAACCAATCGATGGCAGTAGACAGTAGACTAGTTTCGAAAATTTGTACTATACAGTACAAGCAAATATAAAGGCCAAAAAGCAATACTTGATAAAAAATAAACAGAAAGCAAAGACTCCGGGTACTCTGTTGTTTACGAATGAGACATGAGAAAATTGAACATCTTCACTAAAGAGCGCGGAACTAGCTGCTACTATCGTTTTGTTTCTCTCCATTCACTATTTAGGAATAACTAGGCCGGAATTGGACCAATTTCTCTTTCTTCTTTAGTGGAATCGATAAGTAAAGGTCGATTATAGACAATTTTCTCGATAGCGGCACGTTAAACATACGTTTTAAAATGATAATTCAAAATTTTAATAAAGTTAGTTTCCCACGAGGTGGAAGGTTGGATCCAGGATTATAGGGTTCTTTATGTTCTGATTTTATTCCGATTTCTATATTATCGGCACTTTCTAAAGTCTTAGAGACTTTGATTAAATAACAAATACGTGTCCATCCTGTTTCTTTTAACTTGTATACCGTATAAAATTCCATGCTAGTATCTATGCAATTTTTTCGTCTTCTCAGATACTTTCTCAATGTATCCGAAATCTTGGTCAAGTTTTTTATTGGTGTATTCTTAACAACAAGACGAAATATCTGATATCGGTAGTCATGATCATTATGATCTATCAGATCAAATTATTATATTACAAAGTTGTAATGTAACATTCATATTAAACTCTGTCTTTTGTTTTTGGGTCTGATCAAAGTCAATTTCATATTTCATATTGCTAAAATGTGTTCCTGAAATTATCTTCTGTTAAGACATTTTTATACCTTTGATGGTTACTTTAGCACTCATCTGAAAAATCGTATATGGACTGAAAGTGCACACTAGTACCCAGCTCCGCGTAACGTAACATTAAAACATGCTGTTACAGCATTCTAAGATTTTTATATATTTACCGATGTCGTTTTGGACAAAGTCCATTTAATAAGGTCAAACAGTTGTTGTTCTTTTGAAACCTTTTTGTTTCTTAGATGTCTTCACTTTGTGTCATTAAATATGGTACTCCAGTATATCTATTTAACGACTATACATAAAGAAGAAGAAATCTCTCAAGGTATTTCTCCACACTTAATCTTTTTCTATACGTTTCATATTACCGCCAACAATTTTTCCTCATATTTATGTTAAATGTTTACCCCCTTTGGATTTTAAGGGACCGTGTGCTATGTATTAGATTTGTTTTTTTTTACATTAAATTAGATTCATTTTTATTATTCTGTTTATCAATATCTCATAATATATGCTGTCCATTAGGCATTCGTTGGTTGTGTAAATAAATAAAAATGGAATGGGGTTGTTAATCAATATCTAATCCTTATGACACGTTTATAGTAGACCATTGAGGACATTATTTCTGTGTCATACTACCATATACTATATGACTGGTATCTTTGGCTGCAATGGATAATAAATATTACAATTTAAGAATAAAACAATGTTGTCCTTCTCTCTTAGATTGAATTTTGTGAAATAACCCGGAATATACTTGACCATTTTTTTTAATTTGCCTTAAACTTTTACACATCTATGAGCTTCAAAGAAATTTTTATTTAGTATAGCTTATTCAATATATTTTAGGCTCACGATGGTGCACCAAGTTTTCGTTTTCCAAACTGCAACGTATCCATAACACCCAATATGAGTTCTAAAAATGATTGAGCTTGTTTTTGGGCAGCATTTTGTTGGTACCAGAAAGCTTGTCTTCTTTCGCGTATATTACTTTTTTGAACGTCATGTATCTGAAACACATCGAACGTATGAGTACTTTCTCCAAATTCCATAAATCCCAACAACTGTTTTTGTGGTAGTGGCTATAAAAAATATTTTGTAATTTAAAAATTGATTGATCCATCGATGTTTCGGAAACAACTTACATTTCCATATCCTCTGACTATGAATAATAATATCGTACACACGATTAGCGTTCTATCGTTGGCTTTCATAATTTTTGTATATTGTAAAGTGATGCCTTTAGCTGCGACTATTTGTTTTTTCAATTAAACATTGACGTTTTATTGCCTGCTTCGAAGTCAAATATGATTAATGCTCGCAGCGCGAGAATATACAACCAATCGAACGGAAATTGCGTGCACATTTGACATTAACATTCACGCTTGGAGGAGGAACAAATTGTTCCACTGCTGTCTTGTTAGGAAGGGCGCCTAAATGTTATTTGTTTAATGTAACACTTGATACGTTTGAATGAAATCAGTATGAAATTCTTTAAGTTGAAACAATGTCCGTTGAGTTTACGAAGATTGCATTTAAATAATAATACAATGTATATTTGTGACAAATTTTCTTGAATATCTTTTATACTAAGTTTTTATGTTGTTGCAAAATAGTCAGGCTTATTGTTGTTTTTATAAAAACAATGTTTGTTTATTAAAATTATTATTTTTTAATAATGAAAAATTGACATATAATTTGACATTGATACATATACCCCCCAGCAGGGAAGTCTAAAAATGAAATATCAGTAAAATCCAGCTGGAGCTGTAAACAAGTAAAAAAGCTGTAAGTCCGGCCGGGCCGATCTTTGAATACCATTCACCATTTGGAACGATTTTGGCAATTTTCACAATAATAACATCCGTTAAAAAGTCTGTTAAAATCTTAAAAATGCCGAATGAAGTCGTTATATTAGGGTCTATACGACGACGTGGACCTGCATAGGCTTTTGTCATAAACCATTACAATTCTCAAATGTGAAACTTGAATAAAAAATCGGCGAATAATGTAGCTAAAATCAACAAAATACCGAATCCTTCCTATGTCGTTATATTAGGAATATACGAAGACGTGGACCTGCACAGACAACTTTCTGCCATAGGCTGTAGTATCCATTACGAACTTCAAACACAAAATTTGAAACAATTCCGGTGAATAATGTCGCAAAAATCATGAGAATACCGAATATCGGGAGGTGCCGTTATATGGAGCTATACGAAGACGTGGACCTGCACAGACAATTTTCTGTCATAGGATGTAGTGCCCATCACGAACTTCAATACCAAATTTGAAACATTTCCGGTGAATAATGCCGCTAAAATAATCAAAATACCGAATATCGGGAGGTACCGTTATATGGGGCCTGTATGAAGACGTGAACGTGCACAGACAATTTTCTGTCATAGGCTGCAGTAATCGTTCACAGACTGTAGTTCCCAATACGAACACTAAATACGTAGTTTAAAACTACTACGGCGAATAATGACGGTACAATCATCAAAATACCGAATATTGGGAGGTACCGTTGTATGGGGGCTATACGAAGACGTGGACCTACATACAATTTTCTGTAATTTTGTCCGATATTATAAAGGGAAAATCGGTTATCGTAGTAAAAACTTTTGGCAATTTACAGCAAATTCTTGGCCTGTTCCAGAACAGCAAGAATGTAAAAGTGTTTACTACAATAACCGATTTTTCCTTTATGATATCCAATAACAAATGGTCTGTTCCAGAACTGCAAGAATGTAAAAGTGTTTTCTACGATAACCTTCCTCTTTTATGATATCGGAGAAAATTCCAAAACTGATAGATTTTTATAGGTTCTTGAACGGACCAAAAAGTACATTCTTTCAGGTACATAGGTACAGGTAAATTCTTGAACATAGCATCTGGATAAAATTATGCCAAACACCGCAAAAACCTTAAATCCGGCGAAATCTGGAAGAATTAAATTAAAAACAAAAATTTGTTCTAATTTATGTAATATTTGATCCTCATTTTTAATATGCGTGAAAATCCCGAATAGTGCATGAAATATCCCGATTTTCTTTTAAAAATTAGATCCAAACTGTTTAATAATTCACTTTCATAGCAAAACTGTTTAAAATCTTCCATGCGTGCCCCGTAATGTACTCTTTTTAATCATTGACTTAAGATTTATTTTTTTTCATTTTTCACAACAATAACATGTTTTAAAATATTCAAAACTGAAAACTCGAAAAACTTGTCGGGAATATGTGCAAATTTTTGTAGAATAGCACAATTATTAATGTCTACGTTTAGTTAGGCAGATTGTCGGATCGTTAATTGCTACAGAATCGAATACGGCTATATTTGTTACCTTAATTCGCTTTTTCGCGTGCCTTGGGGCAATTGAATGGCATCAAATCTAAATTAGTGGGTTAACGAACTAACCCTTCGTCGATTAAATGCACTTTAAAAAGTTAAACAAAGTTTAACGGAAGAATCTAATCGACTATGTAAAAACGCACATTAGTGCTGTGCTAACACTCATGCAGAGATAGTTTTACGCAACCGGTTCTTTTTTCAAAAAGTAGTCACCATCGCAACTTTATGTCACTCTGAAATGCACAAATTGACAACATTGCAACACATTTGAGCAAATCAAATCCCTACGTTTTGCCACAAAATGCTTAATCATTTTCCATTGAGAATGATTCATCACAGATGCCACATCTATACATATATTAACGAAAATCATTTTTCCTACGTAACTCTTTCAAAGGCTGTTCGGGCGTATGCTTAAACTGGCACAAACTGGTTACCTTGCAAAATGTCGATCGATAACTGTGATATCGAAACGTCACCATTTAGGTGTACCCACATTAAAAGATTTGCACGTATGAATACCATTTGATGCAAGGTGTTCACATTACAAGGTATGTTGACTCAATCCATATCACAAATAAAAATTTACCTTTTTTATAAGTCATCATTATTCAAATTATGTGTTCACATTTCGTAGAATATTTTCAAAATACATTGTCAATAGCTTAATAAACATTATTGAACATTCAACGCCCTTTTAGAGAACTTCGAAAAACTGAAATTATTTTCAAAAATCTTTTTTCGAATTCGTTTAATAGAAAAAATATAAATTATCATAAATATTAGTGAATGTTCGAAAATTCAACCTCACCCAAATACACATTCTTTGGGGAAAGAGTTTGGTTAAACCTTTTGATCGTGCCAATTTAATTCGCCCCGTGTGAACCACCTTTATGAACACGCTACACGAAATCACTCGTGTGGGCCTACCATTTTATCGAAGTAGAAAGTAAAAATCTATTTTATACACAAAAGAGGGAATCGTGGCGTTTGCAGA